AATAAGACAAATAAGGCATAACCAAAGAGGAATATATATAATATGCAGGCCTTTAATATTTATTAAATCTTTTATTTTGAATAATATTCCAATAGTTTTTGCAATTTTATTTCTAATATATTCTATGTGAGGCTTCCAACTAAGTTTGTTGTCTATAATAATCCCTAAAAATTTTGTCTCATAAACTCTTACAATTATAACTCAATATATACATAACTCTAATTGTTATAGACCCGATTACCAGAGAATACCATAAATTCAGTTTTCCCTTCTTTTAACGACAAATTATTATAATCAAACCATGTTTTCAACTCAGCTAACTCTTTTTCTATAGTTTTTTTTATTTCATCCAAATTCTTCCCAAAAAAAATAAATTTGTATCATCAGCAAACATTATAAACTTTAAATTACTGGATACTGCAAAAATATAATTTAAATAAAGTATAAATAATTTAGGTCCTAGGACTGAGCCTTGAGGAAGACCAAATTTTACTATGCCTGTTTGTGACTTTGTGTTATTGATTTGTACATATTGTAATCTATTATAGGGCTGGGCGATAATTCAATAACGATATATATCGATCGATAGACGTGTGGCGCAATAGAAAAAACAGCGTTGATAAAAGTTCGATAAAGAAACGCAGTTTTCCTTCTTTCTCATTGTAGCCTAGCATGTAGGTTTATGCTAGTCACTACTTCCTCCAAACCAATCACAATCGCGGACCCAGGCATGCCGTCACCAAGCGCCGCCCTCTCAAACCACAACACAGAGCACATGAAGATGTCGCAGCAAGGAGAGTCGGAGGAAATTGTTCCAAAGAAGGGTTTTTGTAGTTCGGCAGTCTGGCAGTATTTCAGTTATGGCAAGTCGGACAAAAAACAAACCACAGTCATCTGTAAAATGTGTAGGGAACCAGTGAAAACCAAGTCTGATAACACAACCAACTTTTTTTTTTTTATCATCTCAGCCGCTCACACCCGCAGGAGTACGAGCTGTGTAGGCCCCGGCGCAGCTCTGCATCGCCTCCGAGGAATCTTCGGGAATTTCGGGAAAATATATGTATATTTTCAGTTCTGGACAGTTTCCCACGTAGGTCTACCAATTGAGAGAAAAATGCTGAGGGGCCAGCAACTTCAAAGTAATAACTCAGGTTAAAGCAGGAAACTAAGTGGGGGGGGGGGGGGTCCATTTATTTATTTGTTATATTTATTTTGGTCACTTTTCTGGTCACTTTAGTTTATTCTTTGTCAGTATTTAATAACATAACTCAGGTCTCTTAAGTTATTTTTCTTTAAAAAAATTCTGTTAAGGTTAAAAAAGCTGGTTAAATAAATATTTAATTGGAAGTCTGTGTTCTTTATTAAAATTAAATCATTTAGCAATATCATAAAATGTCCAGGCAGAGCTGCACATAAAATATGGTTTCAAATCTTTTCAATAATTATCGATATCGATCAATATGCATTTTTTTTTATCGATAAGCTTTTTTTCTATATCGCCCAGCCCTAATCTATTACTTAGATAACTTTTTAACCACTGGTATGTAACCCCCTGTAGGCCATGCAGTTCACATTTACCCAATAGTCTTGCATGATCAATGGTATCAAATGCTTTACATAAGTCAATAAACACACCTACGGTATTAAGTTTCTGGTCAACAATGGTGCGGTGGAAGTAATAGATAGATAATCCTTCTACCTTAACTGCTTAAGAAAGGTGTTGACCAGAACATTTTGTGGTCCAATTTAAACGTGTCACACAAGTAGAAATCACACAAGTTAAAATCTATTAAATGGATCAAATGCAACTGGAGCAGGTATGGAAAGCCAAATGTACCAAAAATTTCATAAATAAAAAACTGGAAAGATCTCTATTTCCCGCCAATTCTGTCAGCTGGCCTGATCACCACTATCTCTCTCTGACAACTAACATCCTAGGTTCTTCTTCTTCTTTTTGATAAAGTTACTTATTGGTGTTCATTATATATCACACAATGTGCACACGTCAAACTTAATGTGGTACCAAAGATGATTAAATCCATGCAGCATATAGTGTCCTAGAATAATCTGATCATATTTCTCAAATGGGTATAATGAACAATTCTACATTTGTCCAGTTGGAGTTATCCAGTGTCGGCAGGAACAGAGGTGGGAAGCGGCCAAGGATGGCCATTGGCCACCTCTGTTGCCATCCCTACCAGGGGCTTCTTTAGACTGACTAATTCAGCAATTTAAGAAGAACCATTTCCCTCAAAAACAGTGAAATCTCCTAACTGATTTTAATTGCATAATTTGACAAACTGATAGCAGAAGTACAGCAATTAATCATTTGCATCAATATATTAACATAAAGATGACAAATACAGTGTTCATGCTCTTCTCAAAACTATATTTTGTGTTTTGTGGAGGAGAAGGGAAGTTATGTCTCTGCATTTGTCAGATACATTTTATGCATATATTATGCACAGCCATAAATGATTAATTCAGACAGAATCAATGCATAAATATGTGTGTAGATTTATTTCAAAGAGCTTTGTGAAAATCTAGCCTGTCCTTGTGATTAATTTGAGAAATATGGATGTTGTACTCTTGTATGTTCCTGCTGGTAGAGTGGGATTAGTGTAGACCAGTGGTCTCCAACCCTGGTCCTCAAGATCTACTGTCCTACAGATTTTAGATGCATCCCTGCTTCAACACAGCTGAATCAAATGATTGATTACCTTTTTCAGCATCCCATCAAGCTTGATAAAGGCTTGGTTAAAAAGCCATTCATTTAATTAAGCTCTGTTGGAGCAGGGATGCATCCAAAACCTGCAGGACAGTGAGGACCAGGTTTGGAGACCACTGGTGTAGACTGACCCTGAACTGGTTTTGGCATCTATCAGTTTTTGGTTAAACCTTCAAGGCACATTGCTCCCTGCCTGGCAGCCCTAGGGAAATTTTTCTGGCTCCACCATGCGTGTCAGATCAATGAAAAAGCTCAATGGATTAAATGTTTTATACTAACAATAAAACTTTCTTTGAGAAATGTTCAGAGTTTATGGAGGAGAGTTTTTCTAATGTTATTTTGCATATTTGAAATCATTACTATTTACTAAAATATAATAAAAAAAAATGTCAAAGCATTTTTTCCTCCACTTTGTTTAGTTTAATTTTACCATCTGGGTTTCATGAATGACTGAAGCAAGCTCTTGGCTGGACGTAAATGACAGATTTTTCCGTCCAATAAATTGTCAATTCCATTTTGAACTCACTTAGCATTCTCAAACAACTTCTGAGCATCATCTTCCAAGCTGGTCCTCTGTACTGTAGTAACAAACCATCTGGCACGTTACATCATGTTATCACTCTGGCTAAAACAAAGGTAGCCATTTGTCTGAAACAAAGGAGGCGGCAAAAATCTGCTGTAGCAATGTAATGGGGAACAGATCGACCACATTATGTAGAGGCAGAAAAAAACAGTATTCCTACTCATCTTTGATACATAAATGTGAAAGCAAGTATTAGCTTAAAAAATATAGTTAGCAGCAGTGGCAGCTGGCCAGTAGAGGGCGCTAGGGCGCCGCCCAACCCACCTGATGACCCTGATTAAGACATAAAAAAAATATATATTTTATGATTTTATTTTAAATTAACATTTAAAACATTACAAAATATATTCATATGTATTTCTGAGATGTGCAAGATACATATTTAATATTTAAAGAAGTACAGCATCATTCCATTTTTCGTCAGATTGGTGACATATTTCCGCCCTCGGGCGCTAAAATCTTTGCCCATTGACTCTCGTTAAAAGTTGTAAATGCGCAGTAGCTCCTCTGGAATACAAAGGTATAGGAGAGCTTGGGGCGCAGCTCTGGTGCGCCCCGAGTTGACAGGAAGTGCGTTTGCTCACCACCTCCTGACACGGTGGAGACTTTTTACGGGTGATTGACAGGTCGAGTCACAGGAGTTGGAGAGAGAGAGATGGCGCAAGAACCGTCCTTTACCAGGACCTGGTTGAGCAAGAAGGCGTGGCTAACTGTATTTAGCAAGGCTTATGCTACGTTCACACCGGACGCAGCAGGAGGAGCAAAAACGTGTCTGCTGCTTCCTTTTTGCTGCTTGTACCAGTTTAGTTCTGACGCGCGGCTGAAGCAGCTTTGCTGCTCTGGCTGCGCGGATCAAAACGTGGGTCTGACGTGCGTTCGGCGGAGCTACTTTATCCTTTCTTTGCCTCTTTGCCTTTGCCTTGCCTAGCGTCGCGCGTGTCAGATGCTTAAACGCTCCCGACGCGCTGCTTCAGCTGCACAGACGCGCTGCGCCTGCTGCTCAAAACGCGCTGCGGGACCTTTTGCTGCACCTTGACGCACGTCAACCATTGACTTTGCATGTAAACTCGCTACTTCTGCTGCGCCTGCTGCGTCCGGTGTGAACGCAGCATAACACTTTATTCTGCTCTCCCTGCCACCTTTTTCAAATGTCAGGATCTGACCAGGCATGGATAAAAACAGGCAGGACTGATTTAAAGCACTTTTTTTGATAAACACATTCTTAGAAAATAAATACTTTTTATATATTAAAAAATATAAAAAAATAAAAAAAGCTGACTAATACCTTCTCCATTATTAAACTGGTAGATATTTTTTTTTTATTTTGCTTTGTGACACAATATTGGACCATGCAAAACACAAGTTTATCTTCACAAAGCCATAGAAGGGCAAGATTTATGTACAAAAAGTAAACTCTACATGAAATTATATTTTGTTTTCATAAAGTGTTTTTACTGTTTTTTTGTCGTTGTTGGCATTCATATAAATATACTGGTGTGATAACTTAGTATACGTTTGATTGGTTTTTTATATACGTCTGTTTTGAATTCATAGATCCCCCCTGTGGGAAACTCCACCAGCCGCCAATGGTTAGCAGTGGATGCTAATTGCTGCAATAAAATGTATGATGTTTCTCTTTCAAGTTTTTTATTTAAAACCATGCAACCAAAATGGACCCCACCAACATACCTCTTTTCTCTCCAAAGTACAGAGTCTGTTGTGCAGTGTTGGACCACTGCAGCGAAGAGTTGTCGGTCTCTGTCACCGTACAGGTCAACGTTACCGTGCCACCGACGGACACCGTTTCATCTGAGGTCGTAGGCTGTAGGGGATCCTCATCTAAGCAAGAAAAGGAAGAAGACATAAAAAACAGTTAAAGTGATTGCAACACTACCCTTAATTGTAAACACAATCAAAAATAGTATCACACAGCACCTGCATCAGATAAACCCACAAACTGCGTTACTCGCCTCCCTCCCTTTTTTTTTTTCTCTCAGTCTCCCACTGCCCATGTCTTTCTCTGCTTGTCAGATTATCTATACATCTCTATCTGTCTTTCTGAAAGCACAGACACATTGTGCGCACACACTGACATCTTGTCAGAGGGACAAAAAAAAAGCTGACAAATGGTTATCTGGTTGTATGTCTGCAAGGCCAATGTAGGAGCAATGAGTCAGTGGCACCCAGAGCCTGAACGACCTGGGGGACTTGCAAAGATGAAGAGGCTGTGGCAGACATTGGCTCTCCACAGGTCAAACAAACAACAAAGCCAACTCATATCGCTAATGAGTTTTTTTTTAACCCTTTTTCTTGATAGACAGGGCAGGTTTTAAAAGGCGTTTATATGTATCAGCTGCAAGCTCAAAGTTATGGAAATGAGTGGGTCGGAGGAAACAAGATTGAGAATACAAATGACCCCCTCATAATGAAGGGATTCAGAGGGCTGGAGCTGAAACGGGAAAACTACTTATAAATGAACCGTTGGGGTGTGTAACAATATTCAAATTGGCTCAAATTATGGTATTTAACAGTGCTCCCTTGATAACGGTTGATGGTGCAGGCTAATTCTACACTGCCTTTAGTGAGGGTGGCAAATGATTTTGTGAATCAGAGCAAGAGATGTTAGCAAAATATGCAAGCCTCCATTTATAGTGAGTAATGATAAACATAACCATTGATGCACCTTTTCCAATGTTTAGGTATAAAGGCTTCGAGATCAGTCTCCTATACTGGAACATGTTACTGACTTGCTGAAATTGCAGTAATGCTTGGGCAAAAAAAAAAAAACAAAGGCATAAGTGAAGAAAAAAGACCAAGTCAAAGGAGGGAGCATCACATAGGAGAATACGCCTCGAGCGGTCTTCTCACCCCTTAAATACAGCGTGTATAAATAGTTTAATTGGAACCAAATTGTCAAGCAGGAGACGGGTTTATACGGAGCGTGGGGTGTTATCACATCCGCGCACGGCTGGTGGAATTGAATTTTTTTCTTTTTTTTAGAAGAAGAACATCTGCTTAAATGTGCTCCAGCAGAACTCCCATCAAGACATGAAAGAGGATGGGGAGGGGCTCACGAAGTGAGGATGATGAAGAGGAGGTGAGAAAACCATCTACATGTAGCATCAAAAACACATATTTGCCGAACATGAGCCGAGAGGCGCCTGCAGGAATTTTGGACATCTTTTAAAGATGGGAGACGGGTTCAAAATCAGAACACATCAATTATTAGAAGAGGAAAAAAACTTTCGCATTGCCTCTGGGTTGTGAAGATTAAGAGTGATAACAGCCTGTGAGGTATAGCCGCTGCTTGCCAGCAGGATCCAAAGGACTGTTAGAAACCAGAAGCCACACATGTCAGGAAGTCACTTTACGTTTCAGTGCAGCTCTGACCTTGTGGTAAGTTTATCAAAGCAGCGTGATTGCCGAGGCCTGAATTTGTGGTCAAGTGCCTTGTGGATTAGTGTCTCCTTTAATAGCATCCTGGTCTAATTCTTGTGGCTGATCGCATGAGCTTCTCTACTTGGCATCAACACTTTGAGCAAATTGGCTGTCCCGGGGCATCAGTCATCAAGCCAACCCACAATGAGCTGCGACAAATTACCCAAACTTATGTTGTGCCTTTGGTAGCTACTGACTGTTCTTTCTCAGAATAACTCCTGTTACATTTGTCCAAAACAAAACTTCAATTAGGAACATTTTAACAAGAGAGAAGGCATTTAAGACATGATTGAGTGTATGCTTCAGGAATGCTCCCAATATAATACGGCCTATTTATTATGAGGGAGCTGTCAGCTTCAGCTTTTATGATCACTTAATGAAATATGTAGATTTATGTTAGTTTTTGTTTTTCTTTCTTTAAAAGGATTCTCTGAAAGTAAAACGGTGTCTTGAAAAAATATTTTTTCCAGTATTTTCTAGACTTTTTCACAACATACCCACACATTTTAATGGTTTACAGTAAAAATTTATATAGGGTTGTTGTTGTTTTTCCTAACAGAAAACTAAAAATGTGTGGCATACTTTGGTTTTAATGGGGTCCAAATTTAGTCTGTTAGGATAGTAATCATTGATGATGTGTGAGTTTATTACACCTGAATATTAGCTGCCTGTTGCATGTCAGAACTGATGTTTTCCACAATAGTTTATCTAATTAAGACAGTTAAGACAGTATAATCTTCATCCTGTACACGGCAAAGCTTTGGAAATGGAATGAGAGCGGTGTCCTTCAGCTAAGAACAAAATGTAATATTTTGATAAGGCTGGAGACATGGATGTCTCCTCATCTGCTAAAGTGTATGATGTAAAATGTGATGATTTGGCAGACTGGATGTATAAAGTGCTTCTTTAACTGTTTATTGGGGCCACTTCCCAAGAAGTGAGCCTGCTTGGTAAGCAGCTGCCTTCTGTAACTCAAAGCAACTTCTCTGATCTGAGCAACATTACAATTTCTATCAAAATCTGTTGTCATGTCTTTTGGTTATTTAATACATATAAATTATGAAGTGTTAATTAAAGAGTTTGTTCAGAGTGATCTATTTTCAGGAAAAAGAGCCAGAGAGAGAAAGCTTCAAGGTGCAGACACAGAGAGCCTGTCTTTAACAGTCCGACTACCTATTGCTTCAATTACAGCTTCAAATCATTCAGGTTAAGTCCCAATCAGATTATCTAGAGACTGAAATTGTTTCTCACTCTTTGCAAAACTACACCAAAATGAGTCAGAAATAAAGAACAACAGTTTTAAAAAATGTTTAAAGATTTTCAATGGATTTTGAGTCTGGAGTTTGATAGAGAACTTCAGTGTTTTGCAGCCTCAAAGAGACTTTCTTCATATATAAACATCACCACATCATGCAGCTGATATCACCATGTTTTCCAAGGTGATAGTTATTCAGGGAAACATGTGATATTAATTGTCCGGCCTAGTATAGTTTTTATTTTGCATGTAGGCAAAAACTGTACATTCTGCTTTGATGAACCAGTGTGTTTTTTTCCTTGGTTCACTGTGTTCCCATCACTGTTCGTAACAAGCAGTGAGGAAGACTTTTTAAGGCTTTATTTGGTGCATTTCTTCTTTCCACTCATCTGTAAAAGTCCTATTATCGGATCACATGCCTAAGAGTTGTTCCGTTGACAAATTCTCCAATCTGGGCTGTTAATCTGTGCATTCCTTCTAAAGTTATCACAGTCCTCTTTGGTGATTCTTTTCCACAGGATTCCTTACATGAATGCCTGGGAAATCAAGAGAAAAAAGTTGTCATGTTGCTGTCAGATTAACAGAGATTAAGCGTAAATTTAATCGGGTTCTCTAACAAAGTTTTGAAATGAATGTTAATCTTAGCTCTAAATGGTCTTGCGGTCGAAGAAGCAAAAATCTGAAAGCAGAGGTTAAATCTCATTCATTTAATAGCAGCATGTCTGAGCAAAGTATTCAGGTTTTATCAACTCCAGCTCTACTCCTCACCTAAAGATCAGACTGCAGCCCGTCACACCACTTTTTTTTTTTTTTTTTTCAATTAATGTACGCTAATAAATAAAAGGTTAATCTTCCTCAATGGACTCATAAAAGCTGAAACAATTTAATGATGATGAAATGGCCCTCTGCATATTAAATCTGAAGGTCCATTAATGCATACAAATCATTCAGAAGTTAGGCAGCATATGAAGATGGCAACTTTGTTAGCTCTAACGGTCAAAAATTAATCAAAGATAAATTCTGTCTTAATTAAGCTGGAGCACAGTGTGGGTAGAATCAAACCACATTAGGATAATTTATCAAACACTGCAAAATGTTTTAAATGGACTTGAGCCATAGCTTACGAGATGGGATGGGTGGAGTCAGCAAGGTCCAGATATGAGTGGGAGCCACACAGATTTTTAAGTTAATAAAAAGTTTGTTTGTTTGCTAACTTTATAGGCTGTAAGTGCAAAAGAGGAGCATCATCTGCCTTTTCACAGAAATGTTCAAAAGTCATGGCTGCATTGGGTACAGATGTAGAGCTGTTTGTTTATTTGAGGAGCCCAAACAGCAAAGTTTAAGGAGTGGACGGAAGTTCAGTGTTAGTTTAATCTGGCTCAACTCTCAAGCTGCAAAAATAAGAGGTGCAACCTCTCCATCCTTTGCAGATGTTGAGGTTCAGCGTTGGCCTCTTTTATTCTCTCTTTAAATCCCATTTCTTCATCTCCAACAAAAGCTGTAAGCCAGAGGAAGACACGGGTATTTAAAGCAAGTCAATTTAAACCCTCCCTATAGCCAGCAACAAGGTGAGAGAACGCAGAGGTAGAAGGCTGACTGGGATATCAAACGAATCGAGGCAGGGAGGGAGCGCCATCAGACAGGGAAAGATGGATGGATAAGGGTATGCAGAGGAGGCTGGATGGCAAAACGAGGTGGGAATCCGGGACTGTGTGAAAAAGGAGGGAGGGTAGAGGAGTGAGACAACAGAGGGAGCATGAGGAGCTTGAGGGCTCTCCAGCGTCGAGAGACTGAAAAATATAAAGACAAGATTTTTACTTTGAAAAGAGGATTATTTGTTTCTGTTTTTTTTTTTGTTTTTTTTTTATCAGAGTTAGATAAGACGACTTCATACAGTATGAGTATGTTACCTAAATGTCCACTCCTCTTCATACAACAAGAAGGTTTATAAATTTGCTCTATTTGATCTTATTCTAATGCCTGGACAATTACAATGGAGAAGCACATTGAAGGATCGTCGCACATCAATACATGCAACTGAAAAAAGAATAGTGAAGCATTTATGGTAAACAGCCTGTGCTTCTTTAGCATCATCAAATCTGAGGATTTGACAGTGCTTTACATTATAAACAGTAATTCCCTTATA